GTAGGGGGCTTTGGGTGTTCAACACAGCAAATATCAGACTTTATCAAGACATTGGTTAGTTTTGCTGAACTTTTTCCCTCCATTTTTATTCCTTGTTATGAAGATAGGCTGCAGAGAGAGAAGAATACAATGAGAAATGTAAGTAATATAAAAGTTTTTTAAAATCAATACAATTTGTTTAAAAAAATAAAATATATAATTTTCAATGGATGAGATTCTATGCCAATATCAACAATTTCCTTCGACTATTCTTCTTTTTCAGGGCAGCTAGGTGTTGCAGTGGATAGAGCACTGGCCCTGGAGTCAGGAGGACCTGAGTTCAAATCGGCTCAGACACTTGACACTTGATAGCTGTGTGACTCTAGGCAAGTCACTTAACCCCATTGTGTAGCCAAAAAAAAAAAAACAAACAACCAAATATTCTTCTTTTTCAAAACAAAATGCCAGTTGGCTTTTCTAATTTGCAACTCACCCAGTCATAAAGAGCACTGTGTATGGAGGTAAAATACCCCTTGGGTATAGTGACTTCACCCTTCAGACTTCAGGCAGCCATTTTGTTTTGTAACTGGAGTGCACTAATTGTGCGATATTGTATAGTACTACATCTTTGAGAGTCAGTTTCTCATGCCCATGCTAGACTTTGGTCTAGTTCCATATAGGTCTTATTCTTACCAAAACCTTATCTCCTAAAGGGCCCAGAACAAATGCTTGGCACACATCAGCTGCATGACACACATTTCTAGTTGTAATAATCACTAGCATTTATATAGTATTTTAAGGATTGCAAAGTACTTTACAAATATTATCTCATTCTATCCTCACAACAACCCTGGGAGGTAGGTACTATTATCCTAATTGTACAGGTAAGGCTGCAACTGAGACTGAGGAAGGTAACACGACTTGTCCTGAGTCATACAGCTAGTAAGTGTCTGAGGCCCCATTGAAACTCAATTCATCCTGACTCCAGGCTCAGAATTGGATCTACCTAGCTACCCACCCTCATCTTCCAAATGTGGTCCAAAGAGACTAAATGGCTTGCTAAAGATGGTAAGCATCAGAAATGAGGTTGGAATCCCAGTCCTCTGGCTTCTGAACCATTGCTGGTTCCTTATACTACATTTCCTCACCATAATAGACCTGAAGCATGCTGAAATCTTAAATTTCTGCAGAAATGTGTGAGGAAGAAGGGAACTGGTTTGCCACTAATACCACCTACTCCTCCCCCCACCATAGTTGATATAGTCACAGGAATCAAAGAGGAAATAACAGAGATAATGAGTTGTTAAAGTGTTAACAATGTGTGAACAGCAACTATCTCTTTATGAAGTATGAACACCCATCACTAAAAAAAAAAATCAGAGAAGGTAATCCTCCTTTAATTGAATATGCCTTTTCAAGGCCTTAAAAAGCTAAAACCTGGACAAATTCAGCAGTTTGGGGGGATATAAATCAGAAATTTCTTGTGGAAGAAAAGGCTGAAATCAGGGAGAAAGAGGCAATCTTTCTTCTCCCACCCCTTTTGGCCATATAGACTAGAAGGGGAGCTACTGAACAAGTAGAGGGTGCAGCCAGCAGAGACCATGGGAGCACACTCTCCAGACAGGTACAGATGGAGAGACACAGCTTCTAGAAGAGGGACCTCTGGCAGCAAAGAAGCAAGCCAGCTGGAGTTGGCTACCCTCTGGGGGCAAGTGAAAGTTTGGGGAGTAATCCAGGGAGAAGGCTACAAATATAATAAATAATAGCCTCACCACATCTTCTTAGACAAGTTGTTGTGAATGATAATGCCAAAGAAGGGGTCATGTAGATAATTCAGGCTCGGAAACTTCTCTTTTCCTTGTTAGGTTTCCCAGTTGAGAGAAGTGCCTAAGAGGCTCACTGCTACAAAGGGATTGTGTCTTTTTCATCTCTGTATCCCCAGCTCCTAGCACATATTTGACTCTCTGTAGTCATGTTTGACATTTGTTGAATCAAATTAATACTCGGCATAATGCTGCCTGAACCATAATATATTATAAGTAAGCCTCATCTAAGCTGTGAAAATCCCACAATAAAGGCCTTTGACCAGATGCTCATTTATATCATTGAGCCTATGAAATTAACTGGCCCCCTGTAATATTGTTTAACCTAAAGTCAAATTTTCAAGGAACTAATTTAGACATTAATTGAAGGGGAAAGGAGAAGTCCCCTGTGGATGCTGTCAAGCCACCTTTGACTTGACATGTGTGCCATTGAGAGGAACAAAGGTAATTTAATTTTTTTTTCAAAATTCAGTTATTTTCCCAAATGTTTGAATTGTAGAGAACTGAATGGTTTAATAAACTTCTATCTGGTTCTGTCCTCTGTAACGACCAAAAATGTGGTATGGTAGATGTCAGAGGCCATGAATTCAACCCCTATCTCTGATACTCACTACCTGTGAGGTCTTGGATATGTCATATAACCTCCCTGGATCTCAGTTTGCTCCTCTGTAAAATGAAGAGGTTGAAATCAACGGTCCCTGAGCCCTCTTCCTGCTTAAAATCTATGATTCTGATAATTTCTACAGCATGTAATTGGGTAAAGTAGTATTCCACAATTACTGAATGAGATGGGGCTTGGCTTCACATGAGGAAAATTTTCTTAATAATTGGAGCTGTCCAAAAGTAAAGGCTTTCGTCATCCATGAGTCCATGAGTAGACATCATCAGGCAGAGGCTGGAGGTCCACTTGGTGAGGAGATTGTAGACATGATAACTGTTTATCTTTGAGTTAAACTGAGCCCCCTCCCATCTCTGAGATTATGTAGCTCTTAGCTCCAGAGAGGCAATGAGGAAATGAGCCTTCCTCCTTTCTTTGGAAAGTTGAGGGTCTGTGGGTGTAGAATACCATGTACTCCACTCTATGTTGAGTCTCTGGTAGCCAATTTGCTTAATTGTTGTTCTTTGTGACATGGGAAGGCTAACTTGGTGGGTAGAGAAAGGAGGGAATATCTGGAAATGGCTCTAATAGAAAAATAAAAAACAGCATTTAATTGTAATTTCTTTAATTTCCAATCCATGAAAAATTAATAGCTGGAAGCAAAACTTCAAGAATCCATGATATTGTTGGTGGAGATTTCCTGACTAAGATGGCAACCCCTCTGTAACTTCACAGATGGCTCCTTTTTAACATGGGCTGTTTGGTTTGCTTAGGTTCACCTATATATTAAGTGGTTATTCAATGAAAGATTTGAATCCTCTCCTCATTCACACGTGGGGGGAAAAAAACTTCATCAAGGTATTATACATGCAAGTTTCCTTTGCATTCCCTTTCAGGCATGGAGGCCATCCCTTCCATTAAGAAGGGGTCCTCGTTTCATGGAAAATGCTATCCACATCCCAAGAAAGAACTATGGAGTTTGAATGCAGATCGAAGCATACTATTTGCTCTTTTTTTCTCTCTTCTCTTTTGTTTCCTTTTTCTTGTGGTTCCTCCTATTGGTTCTAATTCTTCCTTACAACATGACTAATGTGAAAATTTAAAAAAAAATTAAAAAGAAGGGGTACTTGCACTGGCTCAGCCCCTAACCTGGGCATCCCCACTATCGCTAAGAAGTCTCTTCAAAAAACACATTTTTGCAAATTTGAAAAACTTAAGAACTCTGAATCGAGGCAGTGACCAACCATGATGCTAGAGGATCGTAATCCTACCCACCTTGTACCAGAATGGTAATAGACTCAACATTCATTTTTAAACAGTGACATTGCAGGAGTCAATTTTGTTTGGCTATGCATATTTGTTACAAGGGTTTGAGTTTTCTTTTTTTTAACAGGAAGGAGGTGGGAGGAAGAGAGAGTTTAGGGACAGGATCTGTCTCCCCAAAAAAAGAGGGTCATCAAAGCATTTTTTATGCACAGCAAAGAACAGAAGACTAGAAAGAATCAGGGGTAAGCAAGACAACTTGGAAAGTTACATGTTGAATTTGTTATATCTTGAAAAGAAAAGCAAGTGGTACATAATTAGAGACTATATAATTTCATACAATCTTCTTTTTCTTTCTACTATGAATATGGAAATGCTCGTTTTACTTGGTATTTATTAAATCCCAAATATAAAAAAATCCATTCCTAATTAGAAGAAAAGAAGGAAAAGGGAGAAGAAGAACAACAATAACCATAAGAAGAATAAAAACAAGAAGAATGAGAACAAGAAAAGAACAAGAAGTATAAAATCAGGAAGAAACTGGTACTCATTGCCAGCTTTGCACAGAACACCGTGCTGGGCTAGAGGAGAGGACCAGGACTGGTCTAACCCAGCTTTAGAGTACAGAACTCTCAAATTCCTCATGCTGGGTGTATATAATTATAGTAATATAATATATTTATTAATATATAATTATATTTCTATTGCTACAACCTGAGATTCATCTCATTAGCCTTTTTCCTGTTATCGCACTGTGAACTCAGACTGAGCTTGCTGTCCACTGATAGCCCCCACATGAACTGTTGGGAGACCACTCCCTGTCCCATCCTGTACTTTTCATGTCACTTTTTTTTTAACACTAGTGCAAGAGTTCTTAACCCAGGGTTCATGAACTTGGATGAGAAAAAAATGTACCTTTATTCCAATTTAATAGGCTTTGTTTGTATTCCTATTATTTTACGCATTTAAAAATATTACTCCAAAAAGGAGTCCCTAGGCTTCACCAGACTGCCAAAGGGGACCATGGTTGAGGTTAAGAATCCCTGGACTAGTGTAAGAGATTATATCTAATCCTTTTTAAATTAGTTGTATATAATTTGTCCTCTATTTTCATCCCGTAGAGTCTCTGGGGGATCCCAAGTCTATTTATGCATCCAATGTGTTAAAAAAAAAAAAACCCAAGCTTGATGCAATCTCTACATTTAAAAATCACACCATGTATACGATTATCCAAATTACTACCAAAAATGTGGATTAGAACAGGGCCGTGGATAAATCTTTGGGGCTCTCCATTAACCACATCTTTCTATATTGACTTTGATGCACCAGTCACTGACCTTGGAATAGAGTTGTTCAATCAGGCTGGATCCACCTAAATATAGACCTACATTTCATCATCTCCACAGGGACAGCTTAGGTTTTTATTTCAAACAGCCAGCTGAAGTTCACTGTGCCCACAGCATTCTCCTTGTCTACTCATCTTAGAAGCCTGTCAAAAAAAGGAAATTAGGTTAGTTTTCATAGTTGTTAGCGTTCACTCCTCCCCTTTCTAGATGTTCACAAACCATCCCTTTAGAAACAGCCTACAATTTTGCTAGCAATCTTACTGCCATTTTAGGTTTTAAAAGCAGTTTTGCTCATTGATGGTCTCAGCCCATTCTGAACTTCACTTTCTCCAACCCTATTCCAATATGGCCTCTTTGTATTTAATCCTCAGTGCCTGTAGTTGATTCCAATTTCTGCATATTCCTTCTGAAAATCTCAGTTGGACAAGCAGTTCCTGCACATCTACATGAATGGATGGATGGACAGGTGGGTGGGTGGGTGGATGGATGGATAGATGAAAAAATGAATGAATGAAAATTCATGCATCATTAAGTGCTCAGTATGTAAATACTATGATAAGTGCTGGGGCTATAAAGATGGGAAGGCCTAGTATTCTTCCATCTTACTCTATTCACCTCAGCCTCTTTGAGCAGCTCCCCATTTTCTCCCACATCAGAATCATTTGTGTTTGAGATATCAAGGTTATTATATTAAATACTCCAGTTTCTGATGAAGTAAAGTAATTGCTCCTAATGAATCAGGAAGCAGTCATTAAGACCTCCTAAGGCCCAGGCACTGCTCTAGATACTGGACATACAAAGATTAAAATGAAACCATCTCTTCCTTCAAATTTACATTATATCTCATGATATACATACATGGGAAAATGCCAGCCCAAGTTTCCAAAAATGGCAGTAGTTGCTTTTTTTCTTATTGTCTGGTCAAGGCTATCTATAAGCTAGACAACAATCAAGCTTAACTCTATTAAAAATCTCATCAGTTGTTTCGCATAAACCCCAAAAGGCACTTCAACACCCAGTTGTCTTTGTTTACATTATGCCCCTGACCTGGAATTCCCTTCACTCCATCTAGTCCATCCCTAACTATACTTCAAAGCTAGCTGCATTGTGAGGCTCCAATGAGATAAGAGATGGAAAGCATCCTTTTTGCAAACCTTAAAGCACTATATAAATTCCAATTACTACTACCACCACCACCACCACCACTACTACTACTACCACTAGCACCACCACCACCACCACCACCACCACCACTACTACTACTACTACTACTACTACTACTACTAATAATAATAATAATAATAATAATAATAATAATATGACTACTACTACTACTACGACTACTAGACCTCCAATCTGCTGATGATGACTTCATTTCCTGAGTCCTCTACTGTACTCCTGCTAAGCTCAAACAATGTTTACAGAGCAATACAGAGGTGTGCTATTATATACAATGAGGCTGGTCAAGGAGAGAGGGGAGTATGCACACCCCTTTGAGTTTAATATGCATTGTTAACACTTTTTTAAGTTTAGACAGTCAATAAAACAGCATTTTTGACTGACAATTACTAAGGTATAAATGTTCATGTGGCAGATGGATGGCTCAGTAGATAGAGCGCCAAACTTGGAATCAGGAAGACTCATCTTCCTGAATTCAAATCTGGCCTCAGACATTTGTTAGCTATGTGACCCTTGGCAATGACCTTAACCCTGTTTGCCTCAGTTTCCTCATCTGTAAAACAAGCTGGAGAAGGAAATGGCCAACCACTCCATTATCTTTGCTAAGAAACCTCCAAACGGGATCATGGAGAGTCAGACACCAGTGAAACGACTCAACAAAACATTCACACTGAAAATTTAACAACCGACTCTGGCAAGCCAATCAGAGATGGCTCCAACATAGCCCTGTTGAGGTCCATCTTAAATACCACCTCCTCCATGAAGACTTCCCTGATTCCCCAGCTGGAAGCAGTCTCTTGAAGCTGAAAGAGCACCGGGTTTGGGGCTGGATGATGTGAGTTACTTGTGTCATCTGTGTGACCTTGAGCAAGTCACTAAAACTTTCAAGACCTCAGTTTCCACCTCTGAAAAAAGATGGGGTTGGGCTACATAGCCTATGAGGACCCTTCTAGCTCTAGAGCTAGGGGCGTACATAACCTGGAATAGATTAAATTATTACTGAAAGCACATCACTGTGAATCAAGGGGGCTGGACAAAGATGGCCCCTCCGACCCCTTTCAGCTGGGTGGAAATCTATTCTTTCTCTTTAGGTCTTCACTCTCTCACCCATCAATTTCAGCCCTCTTCCCCATTCATCTTCTCTTCTGAGTCTTCTCCTGGCCTCCTTCCCCCAGAATCCTAGGGTCCTGCTCAACCTTTGCCCTCCCTTTCTCATTGCTCTCTTTCCTCCCCCCCCCCACCTTTTTCTACTAAGCTCTACCATGTACATCCCAGATGAAGCATCCTGGATTCCAATGAAGAATTCTATTCTGCAGTTTGATTTCTCTAAAATAATACATGCAAATAGCAGCTAGCAGCTTCTGACCTGGATGTCTTCTCCTTGGATTCACACATTATCTGCAAACTCTTCACTTTCTCACTTTGAGGGATGGCCTTGGCTTGTATCACATGCAGTTGGAAGGCCATTTTTCCAACCATGCACAATATCAGAAATGTCCCATTATGGTCTTTTAATTATAGATAACATTTTTTACATTTTTACACATAATTAAACTTTCCAGTTCTTTTCAGTTGTGTCCTGGTACTTTAATCGGCCCCTCATCTTAAACGGGCTGCACTGAACATTTGATTTTTGGTGGATCCTGGGGGGGAGGGGGGTCTGTGTAGCTGACAACTTCGCAGCTGGTTTAGATTCAGATTTCTCTTGTTTCCCTAATTGCTTTCTTTTTTAAGTGCAACTTTGATTAAGAACAGCCTTTATTTTGCCATTAATTTCTCCTTAAAGTCATCCCTCATCCCAACCCACTGCAGAATTCATGTTCATAAGCCCAAGTCATTTTAGAGGGGGAAAATATTTTTGTATCCTCCCACATTTCTTTAATATAATAATCAATAGCTATACCATTCCCCCACATTTATCTAAGTAAAAATCAATAGCAATACCTTTGCTGATATTTACTTAATGTAATAATCAATAACAATACTATTTGTTTATTTGCTGTCACTAACCAAAGAGGAAGGCCAAAGCAATGTATTTTTCCAAACTATGCAAACCTTCACTATGTCACCAGCTCCTTTCTGCATTCTTCCCCAGCCTGAACCCAAATGTGATTCTTCCTCTCATACACCTCCCCTTCTCCTTGATCCTGACGCTGACCATCAAGAGAATGTCACAGTAGGCATCACTCCTTTGGTAAAAGGCAAACAAAAACCTACAACAGTGGCTTCCCACTGCCCACTAAATACAATTCAGACTCCTTTGCCTGCCCTTCAAGGCCCTCCATTCTGTGGTGCTTCCCTGTCTTTCCAGTTTGGGCTTCAAGATTCAAGCCAAGAGTCACCCTCTACAAGCTCTCCTACTCCTTGAAACTATTTTGTATTCACTTTGGACATATTTTGTACTTACCTGTTTAGATGTTGTATCCCCCAATATAATGAAAGCTCCCTGAGGCCAGAGAATGTTTGAATTTCATTTTTGAGTTTCCAAAATTGAGCACAGAGCCTGCCATATCATAGGAGGTTTAATAAATGTTTGTTGGATGGGATGGAATTCCTCTCTAGGAACCTAGTTCCAGTCAAACTGTAGGAATCTCTGCCCTCCAAGGACTTCATGAGCTTTGGCTCTAGAACTTAAGTCTTGTTTTATCCTTCACCAAGAATGTCCTTCCTCTTTGACTACTGAATTCCCATTCCATCCAGCCATAAAAAGTCAGAGCCCATCTGGGCATCTTACCATCTGCCAATGATGGGGTGAGGCTCAGTGGCCAACTCTAGATCTATGATCCTATGATCCTGAGGACCCTGCTGCTAAGGTGTATATCACTGCCCCCCAGTCCCCCAATTTTTCTCCTCTTTCTCCAAAAAGAGAAATCAAATCAATGCTACCATTACTTCTGAAGAGTATAATGATCACCTGGTCTACAGCGCCACTCACCATCCCTGAGACTCATCAGGCCACAGTTCCTTTTCTTGTATCCCACTCACCTGCTTTACTAATTGTCTTTGTTATCAATTGGCAAACATTTGTTTAGCACCCAGTATGTGCCAGGCACAATGCTAAGCACTGGTAAAGTACAAAGAATGCAGCAATCCTTACTTGCAAGGAGCTTTCAGGCTAATGGGGAGACAATAGGGACCTATATAAATATATACAGCACAAATGTCAAGTGAACAAATCCAAACATAAACAAATTAGTCAATACAAAGCAATTCAGAAGGCAGGGTACTAGCAATTTCAAGGATCAGAAAAGATTTCATACAGAAGACACTTGAGTATCTTAAAGGAAGAGAAGGATTCTATGAGGCAGAGGTAAAAAAAGGAACACATTCTATATATGTGGAATAGCCAAAGGCATGGAGATGGAAAATGAAATGTCACGTTAGAATGTAAGTGATTTGGGTTCAGGAACTATCTCAATTTCACACTTATATATTCATCACCTAGCATAGTGCCCAGCACACAGTAGGCATGAGAAACAATAATTTTTTTAAAAAATCCTTTCATTCCTTCATTGAATTGCTTCTCACTCTTCAGAGCTCCAATCAAATACTACCCATCCTTGAAGCCTTGGCATCTCCTCAGTCAGAAATGACCTTTTCCAACGCCATCCATCCCCAGAGAAATATCTGATGGTATCTGAATAGAGATTGAAGCATTCTTTTTTTTTTACTTGCTTTATTTTTCTTGAGTTTTCTGTCTTTTTTTTTTCACAACATGACTATCATGGATATATTTTGCATGACTACACATGTATAACCTATATCAAATTGTTTGCCTTCTCAATGGGGGATGGAGGGAGAGAGAGAATTTGTCACTCAAGGTTTTAAAAATGAATGTTTAAATTGTGTTTCCATATAACTGGGGGAAAAATCAAATACTAAATAAAAGCAAAAAGGAAAAAAAAAGAAAAGAGATCAG